GCAAGTAATACTATCTCTACTCCCATCTTCATCGCAATCTTCGTAAGCGGAAAAACTTATCATTCCTTGAAGGTCTCTGTGCCTCACACAGTGGACACCACTTGACTGACCGGACGATAGGACTCCCTTCGAAGGCCCACATTGACCGAGGAGCAGAGAGGGGGGGAGACATTCGTCAATTGATTGTGTCGAATTCAGGTATATTTTTGCTTCTCCCTCCTTCACCTTCAGCTCAATGTGCCTGATAGACTCACCATCTCTTTTTTCTCCTTTCATCCCCTTGTTACCCATCTACCAACTCACGTGGTGGGCGGTCCTTCTGCCGAAAATGTTACTCATTCACACTTTTTCACCGGGAAAATACCGAACTGTGCACGTGTTCAACACCACCCAAAACCACCTCAATCATCCCTAGGCATTTCTTCAAAGGTATTTGTATCCTATTGTGTGAGGCCTTGCTCCAAAACACCGCACTGAGTTGTGGCTACGACGTCAATGACACCGATAACATAGTTTAAAAAGAGGTGAAAGTGTAGAAAAACTGTCTGAAATAGTGGTATTGGGTAAGGCAAAACAGTACATCCCGTCCACTTGCAGGTATGCAAATTAAATGGGACACTTTGTACGGGTGGCGGGATGGAGGATAAGCCCGATTGTAAGTATACAATCTGCGAAGAATGAAGTGTCCGCTTAGCTCGAGGCGCTATTTAAACAAAGTACCTAATCACTAAAATTAGGCAGTCAACTTTGGAACTGGAAGGAACACCCATTGCACAGCTCTCTGCCACCATCATGGAGGCTGGGTCAGATGAATGAGCGTGGTAACGCGTTGAATCACCACATTCCACATTATTAGAGACTGTATTCTTATTTCAAAATAAACTTTTTGTCTATTGTAGGAAGGAGAAAATCAAATAAGCAAGATTTATGACATTCCTTTTCTGTTTGTCGCAAACACTGTCTGAGGAAGTAACAATCGCCTTCATTTGTGTATTTGCGTTTGAGCTTATAAAGGCACCTGAAACAGGTGTCGTATGGAACCGCGTTAGGAGGAGGCAGAACATGTCCGCTCCGAAGAGACGACTGACTTTTATGAATGCGCACCTCCTTTTTACCCTCCTAGTGGCTGTTGTTGCGGCTGATGCTGACTATGCGTCTACTCCGCCTTGGTACAGCCGGCTTATCAAGAAACTCAACACAACGCTTGTTCAGAATGTAAGATTTGTTTGCTTTTTGGCATTTAAGTGAGTTCCACAATGCTCAGCTCCGCGATTTCTCTCATAGTCTCTGTTAATACAGTTTAAAACACTTGGCCTATTTTTAAAATTCATTGGCTCGTAAACACTACCGACTAGACTATATTCAACCTTCTTGACAATTTTTTCCAAAAAATGTGGATTTGTTTGCTTGGTTGTCGATGCAAGCGGACGCAGACGCACCGAGATGCAGCGAGCGTCTGCGATTTGTAGCGCACGCCTAAAAATCGATAACGTCGGATGACTGCCTTCCCCGCGCTTTGTCTGCCTAATCCACTCCTTTTGTATTGGCATTCCCACAGGCCTACTATGCCAAGTGTCTGGTGGACAGTCCCGTCAGTACCATAGATTGCAAAGGTGTCGCCTACGGCGCGGGGCTGAGAGCTGAGGCGGCGAAAGACAGCGCTCGATACTACGCCTCCGCCACGGGTGACTACCGATGCGGACATTTTGTTGGACAGTGCGTAATTCGGCAGTATAGTAAATGAAACCGCTTTGTTATAAAGCGATAAAATCCGGAAATTAATTTCGTAAAGTTATGGTTTTCTTGCCTTCACCACTGAAACGAATAAATTGAGATTTTGAATTATGATCGACTGCTTGAGGTTACCATAGTACCACTAAATGAGTAATGTTTGAAACAAAATAATTTTTTTCGTCTAAATAAACGGGATTTTGCTTGATTATGTTTTGTTTTCCTTGTACTTTAATTCAACTAAATTCATCCATCATGCCTGTGACGAATATCAAAGTGAGTTTATGCAGACCAAAAGATTTATTTCTGCCACTAATTTTTATAGTTAAGATCTACAAACGGTTCAATTCTGGTAACACTTCATTTGTTAATAGCACTCCCGCAGAACAAGAGCTCAGGGTAATGGCAAAATGTTGATGTCATTTTTAACCCTTCTATCTACGACTCTTAACCGATTCAACCATCTGCAGGAGGCATCCTTCCTTCACGGCGTTAGAGTTTTGCATTCAGCTATAGAAATTAGGACAGAGTTTAATTGCTGATGCCATCAAGTTGGAGCAGATTCCTGTCGCATCTGCAACTGGACCATCACCTGCAGACCAACCTCAGGTGAAAAGGTGAAGGGTGATTGGCTGTGCTTATAAGTAAACGCATTTTGGTAAGCGGGTGTACACAACGGAGAACACAAAAGCTTCTTAACTAAATGGAATTACTCTTCTTTGTCCTACAAATCCTCACACCCTCAAAATCGGCCAATCAAACCGCCCTAGTGGAAAGCCAATTGGCCAATCAGACAGTGGGAATTCGTACCAATCAGAATCGACTCATGAGACCCACCACTTTTTGTCCACTTTACTTGAACTGGAGACCAATTTCATAGAGAAAAAGGAGGACCTTTATTCCCACATTGATAAAATTTATGCCACATGTAAATGGCCTACAGACACGGTAGTTTAGATTAGGGGAAGTAGGCAACAGCACCAGAGGAACAAGCTAGGCAACAAAGTCATCAAAGCCGAGGGGCCGGTTCGAGTAATTGGGGACACCTAGCTTTCGACAGAAATAGGGTGTCAGGTCTTCTATTTATCAATCAACATTTTGTGGTTGACTTGGCCTCTTAGGGAAACAAACACTTTAAATCATAAAATACATCAAATAATCAAATTGCAGGAAGTACCATCAGTCAGTCTACCTAGGCAGATGACAATGTAATTGACTCAAATACATCATAATTGACCAATTTTTCGAAGAAAATCGTAAATAATAAGGTTAAATTTGGTCACAATCCCAAATATGACAATTCTAGAGCAGAAATGGAGGAGAGGGAAAAGGGAAAACAGGTACCATTAGGAAGGGCAGCGGTGAGGAATGGGATGGATTGTCATTGGTGGCAAGAAGTGGTCTCTTTCATGTGATTAAGGGCACTGCCAGCTGTGAACCACCCCAACTGTTTGGCATTAAAGGTGTGGGCCAATTCAATTTCCTCAGTTGAACCGTCGGAGTGAGTCAGCCGGCATCGCACCGTCTAAAAAGGCGAACGGCAGTTTATTTGCACCGGGTGATTTTAGACAGATGTGAAGGAAAAGGGAGAGAGGCTCAGTCGATTGTCTCAAGGCGTATTTTTTGTTGCATGGCCACCCTCGAGCTACCTATTAGTCAGTGATGCGCCTTGACGCAGGCTATTCAAATTAGGCGATACGAAGGATGGGATGGGAGACAACGGAAGGTTGGCAAGCTGGGACAAATGAAGATGAATGGATGAGACACGAGCAAATAAGCGAATGCGGTGTTGGCGTGCATGACAGCCAGCTGACCAATGAATAAGACTGACGACACCTGGTAGATCCGGTCTCGTGTACTTCTCGTACTTGACTGACCTTGAACTTATTAGTGCCCTTAAAGAACACATGCACATAATGTCGGCAAATGGGAAAGGACTAAGCGGGATATTTGGAAACTATTTACTAAAAGGGAAATTCCTAGAAAATTGAAGCCGCCAAGTCTTCTGGGGTCGCAGGCACTCACCCAGGGTTCTACCTGCTGGCTGGGCCACTCGTGTGTTCACAGCATCTGCAACAGCCTCTACCTAACCGGGATTAACACTGCATATGGAACCTGCCTCCTAGTGATGTTGGTCAGTGAGGACTAATCTCAAAACAAAAAACGCTCATTCCCACAAGAGTAACAAGAACCTAACACCTTCGTTGGTAAGATAATTCGCACAGATGACTGGAAAGGGTTCATAAGGACCGCCAGATTAAGATGCTCACCTTTCCAGGAGTGAGATTTTTCAAATCCAACAGAGAGACCTTGTCTGAAGGTTGAATCTTGTCATAGTCCTCGGGGTTCACGAAGGTCAGTGGAAGCATGCCTTGCTTCTTCAGATTGGTTTCTACAAAAGAAGGGAAAAAGCAACGGCAATATTGGTCAAGAAGTTCCATGAACGGATCATGAAGTAGGCCAAACAGACGACTTTGCAAGATGCCAACAGCATTTGCAGTTATGTCCATTCAAATTATTCATACTTCTGTCAGTTCATTCACCCACTAATCCAGTTCTTATCCGTGCACCCATAAATTCAACCGCCTATTCATCCAACCTTCTACGGATAAGCTAACCCAGGTAACCACGCCTGATCCGTGAGATCACTTAAACATCCACTAATCTACAGATCTATCCACTCAATTAATCGTTCACCATTCCACCTAACCACCACTTCATCCAACTACCTAGAATAAACGGATAAGTAAGCAGACATTGACGGGATAACCTGATAGGCATTGGAATAAATGTTAATAGTGGATAGATTTGAGATGGGTGCATAAATAGCAGAATTCAAACAAGTAAACAGACAGAGAAGAAAAGTCGGTAGACGGACTAACTGGAAGGCGGACAGATGATTAGAGGGACAAACTCGCGATAGACAAATGAATGTACCAATGGGAAACATCGACAAAGATAGACTCAGAAGAAAAGTCTTACCATGAATACGCGCAAAGCTCTTGACAATGATGGCACGACCGCCGAGATGACGCGGTTCAAGAGCAGCGTGCTCGCGACTACTGCCCTCACCATAGTTCACATCGCCTACCACCACCCAGGGCACTCCTGCAGCCTTGTAGCGCCGTGCCACTGCCGGCACTGTGTCCCACTCTCCGCTTGGCCGGTGGCACACGCGGTTCATCTCCCCATTCTCGCTATTCACTGCTCTACAAGAAGAAATAGATCATTGTTTGATTGGTCGATCAGGTATGTAGTTAATTGGATGAGCTGCTGTGTACCTAATTAGTTTATCAGTTTACTGAGTGATTGCCTAACTTATCGACTTATTGGCTGTGTTTGATTGGTTAACTGGCCGGATTGCTTAACTCATTGGCTGGAGGGAGGGGTAGCTAATTGGTGTTCCGGATCAGTGGAGGATCTGATTGGCTTAATGGCTGCTTGATTTGCTGTGACAAAATAATTAAATTACCACAAGATTAAGTAATTGAACAGGGACTGCGTGATAGAATGGTTGCCGGATGGATGGACCTGAAATGGATGCCGCGATGACGTACCCGATGAACATGTTGTTTGATATGTTGTCCAGATGGCCTCGGAACTTCAGCCAGGGTCCAGCAGCAGAAATATGGTCGGTGGTACATTTGCCACGCACCTTGATGAGCACTGGCATATCGAGGAAGTCCTTGCCATCCCATCGTGCGAAGGGAGAGAGGACCTGGAGACGATCGCTCGTCGGTGAAATCATCACCTTCACGTGGGAGGCGTCCGCCGGTGGGCTCTGGAAGTGCGGATCCACGTGTTGGAAACCGTTGCGGGGCAGAGTGTCGCCTATGAAATGGGAGCTAAGCAATTAATCCTACCGTCCGCCGGTCTATTAGCCAAGCCATCAGTTATTAGCACATCAACCCATTTCGTTCAACCATCCATCCAAACATATACCACCAACAAGATTTTGCAGTGAATCATAGAGTAGTGTAACCATTTGTTCACCCAATCATCTGGTTGTCTTGACGATAGTAAGTCTATCTGTCCATCTCCAGATTCACTCGTTCGCTCATTTCACCAATATTCCATTCATTCAACCGCCCACCTATTTATCCATCTGTCCTATAGGCCAAATACTTGACCATCAAAGTATTCGCATCCTTCCAAGCACCATTCTGTTTATTCCAAATCAGATTTCATCAAGCCTACCTTCCGGAGGTTTCAGCTTAAATTTCGTCCCATTTGGAGCCGTCAACTCATCGGTTAGGGGGTTAAAGCCTAAACTTCCGCCCAGCACTAGAGCAGTGACCATCTCCGGTGAGGCGACAAAAGCATGGGTGGCAGGATTGGCGTCGTTTCGACCGGTGAAGTTGCGGTTGTACGATGTCACGATGGTGTTCGGTTCGCCACGTTTCTTATCCTATGCGCACCATCCGGCAAAAGAGCGGTAAAAAGGAAGAAAGGGATACGAAAAAAATAATAAGTTTTAGGTTAAAAGGAGAAGTGGCACCACCAATACCTATCTAATGAACAGAGCACCTAACCCTTCAGCCATTTCGAGTCCATCAATCGACCCCGGAGCCATTCTGCCGACTAAAAGCACCATTGAGCAGAGTGGAACCCTCCAAAAATCTACCTATGCTTCACCCTGGCTGCCAACTATCCACAAAATCGCTTAAAAAACAACAGCCCATTCAGGCCCAACTCACCTTGCGATCCCATTGACCAATACAGGGTCCACAAGCGTTGGCAAGCACCAAACCTCCAAATCCTTTGAACACATCAATCAGTCCGTCTCGCTCAATCGTCGCATGGATCTGCTCACTACCTGGGGTCACGATAAGTTTTGTTGGCACCTTAGTGATGCCGTGCTCCAGCGCCTGCCGCACCACACTCGCAGCGCGGGACATGTCCTCATAGGAGGAGTTGGTGCAGGAGCCTATCAGACCTGCCGAGATCTCCATTGGCCATCCCGCTGCTTCAGCCTCCGATTTCAGCTAGTAGGGGAGGGGAGGAGGGGGAAGTGATTAAGAATGTGTGCTTTTACATTGCAATAAACTAACTCTTGCAATCGCCCAAGGTCCGGCCCACAATTTGGTGCTATGAAGTTCTGCCTCTAGCCTCTCAACCCTTCTGTATTTCAAGGCACGTGGGCCTTGTGACGAATGCGGGAATAACTCGAGCCGTACCTTGTCGGCAGCGGCAAGCAAGCCAACTTGATCTCATAGCATCTCATCCATGTACACAGCTCTCCAACCTTTCAACAATAAACACTCTCCAACAATGGTATGCCATGTTTCTCCCGAAAAGCAGAAAAATTCCTTTTCTAAACAGTATACAACAGTGCAACCTTCTTCGAATTGGCCTTCACTCCGGGATTATAAAGCTCCGCTAATGGTATCCCCTCTCGTCCGTACCTTGGCAGAAGGAATACCCTCAGACCCACACATCAGGTTACCCCTGCATTAGTAACTGGGGTGATTCACAATCAATGATCAGTTGCCCAGATTGGCGGCTTTTACTGATAAATAAACAAGACGGGGTTACATGAAGTAGAGAAGAAATGCACCTACTTAAATCACCTCTCAGTGGCGTGATCACACAACCCTCGAGTTCTAGGCAGGCTATCAAAAAGACCTAAAAAATGGAAATCTACTCAAATACCACTTTAGTAGTACAGAAAGCACTACTTTGAAGATCTCTTCTAACTCTTGATCATTCATTCCATGCACTGAAAATTCTCTGCTTTGCGTACATACACTGTAGTGATATCCTCAAACCCTGATACAGCTGCCGCCTCACTCTCATTATCCATCATCTTGGTTTTGCTTCAGACCTGTCGCCGGTAACAGAGCGTGACAATAAAACTGTCTGCAAGGAGGGAACTTCCCGCTTAAACCGTCAACCGTTCATTGGTTAACCACATTCTCGTTCCGTCAAACACCTCTCTGGTCTGCGCCCTTTTGGGTTAAATAGTCTCATGGAAATCCCCTAATAAGAAGTACCTTCAACAACCCTCAAAACAGTCCACTAGTAGTCTAAAATGAGACACGAATTTCGCATTATGAGCACCCCCTAACACACAAACCCAAATCTTCCGCCAACTGTCAATCAAACGAATGAGTTCTCACACGTGCACACCCACCCATTTTTGATATCTAACGATGGAAAATTACTCAAAACATTCGTTAAATGAATTTCATGAGTGATATGATGAGAGATCTATCGGAGGACTTTCAAAGGAAAGCTTGCCATTCTTTTCTTTCTCTTTCAAAGATTGACATGGTACTATTAAAAGTTGTTTAAAACGAGAAATGGATGAATCAACGGAGACATACCTTTGAGATGGGATGAGCCAAATCGGGAGTATAGGGTCCGTTCAGATGCGGTTCCAGCTCGCTCAAGTCAATCTTGATGACGCGGTCATAGACACATCCCTTATCAGGGGAGAGCAATTTGCTCTAGAAACAAAGAACAGAGAAAAAAAACGATTAAGACTGAACTCCGGGAAAATGGCAAGATCTGGATCCTTATCGACTGTGCAAACAAAATCTGTGTCTCTAGCATATTCTGCATTAAGCCAGGTCGCATGCTCCTGTATTCCTTCGCTCATGCATCCATCCATCTGTCTATCCACAATCCAACCAATTAAGGGATGGTTCGGAAAAGATAGATTTAGACAAAGATTCGGAAAAGGAGAGCGAAAAAGTAATAGCATTACTTCTAACCAACTTTATCCACAAAGTCAACTATTTTATTCATGTTATTCATCCAACCACCTATCTCCTCCAACTTTTAAGAGCCTCATTATGGTAGTATATGTCTCCACGACTGCCGTTAAAGTGACAAATCAGCTAATTTAATTAATAATACCAAGATCAAGTTCTTACATATCGCGACAAGAATTTCACGCATTCGCACCTGATGCCTCATAAGTATTGTGATAATTCTACCTAAATCGGATCGTATGGATTCGGCGTCTACCACTACTTTATCATCTGTGCTCACACGGCGTACACCAAGCGCTGATAACCGATAAGCACGAGAATACTGAGAGATCTCCCACAACTGCCTCACCGTTGCAGTGCCAAGACTCAGTGCTAAAAGACATTTCAATTGTTGCGGATGGATATACACGAGATGGAAACGCTGGTTTAACAGATTTACAATAATGTGATGGAGTCAAAGGATGACATTTCCTATCCAAACTAACTGCCCGTATTCAGAGAGCCTAGATAAAGCTAAACCAATGTAATATTAAGGATCTCAACATTTCATGCTTAATTAATGCAGTCACTGAATATTTTGGGAGCCGCAGAATGAGTTCAGGTTAAACCAGGATGCCCAACTTTACGGGTATTAAAGGGGATGCTGTCCTGGCAATACGAGCAGCAATGGCATACGCGCGGGTAAAGGGGGGTGTAGTTATAAAGTAATGATGTCTATTGTAAGCGGAGGCGTAAAATTCGCGTATACCTACAGAAGACTCCAAGGAAAGGATAGAAGATCAAGTGCCTAACAGTAAAACACCTAGGTGGTGTGAATGTAGATATTTCCAGGTCGACTAACTGTGGGCCTGTACACTTGTTATAATTTTGAATGCAATGATTCGTGCCCAGCCCACGGCTTCAGCAGTCACTTTCGTCAACATTCACCTCACATCGCAGCACCGATGATGAAGTGAAGCAGACTGCCAGGGGACGGCTCAGTTAAAATAACAAGACTTTCAATGCTGACGCTTTCTTTCAGGGGCCAGACGGTTAGCATATTAATGGACTAGAAGACTGGCAAAAGAAATAAATTCAATTTTCATCGTTTAAGATCCACTCCTTCCTTCCCATTGAACTGGATAGTCCTCATTTGACTTAAACTCCCTCGTGTCTAAGGCGCAGTCTCAAAAACTCTAAGAATATAAGCAATGCAACAAACTCAACAAAGAGAAAAATCGGTAACATGGGAATAGGAAGGATATTTCTTAAAATTTAAGAGTACACAACCCACCCTGTACTTGCTTGCTAAATCAGCAATGTCTCCTCTGCCAGTAGCCCTCAAGAAATCCACCATTCTATCATTGAATGGAAACACAGAGGTCGTAGCACCAATCTCAGCGCCCATGTTGCAGATTGTCGCCATTCCCGTGCATGATATGGACTCCACCCCTGGCCCAAAGTACTCAATAATGGCTCCAGTGCCTCCCTTCACGGTCAATATATCCGCCACCTTGAGAATTACATCTTTGGCCGACGTCCAACCGGACAACTTGCCGACCAGCTCAACTCCAATTATTTTGGGACACTTTAGTTCCCAATCTAGGCCTGCCATTACGTCCACGGCATCGGCACCGCCCACTCCAATGCATACACCTCCCAGACCGCCACCGTTTGGTGTATGACTATCAGTTCCAATTATGAGCGCCCCAGGGAAGCAGTAATTTTCCAGCATTATCTAGGAAAGAGGAATAGGAATAATGACCCGCCTCACCTGATGAATGATCCCAGAACCCGGCTGCCAAAATCCAATATTAAACTTGGAAGAGGCAGAGGCAAGGAAATCGTACACTTCTTTGTTAACGGTAAGCGCGTTGGAAATGTCCTTGTCACCACCCTCACGAGCAAGGACTAAGTGATCGCAGTGGACGGTTGTGGGAACAGCAACGCGAGGTATACCACTGGACATGAATTGCAGAATAGCCATTTGTGCTGTTGCATCCTGCATTGTAACACGGTCGGGAGAGAGGTTCAAATAACTAGATCCACGCACTATATCTTTCGTTTTCGGGTCAGAGAGATGACCATAGAGAATCTTCTCGGATAATGTCAATGGACGTGCTAGTCTGAGAGGATATCGCACATTAAGATAGAAAGCTTACGTTTCATTGACACTTCTTAGTGTGGAACAGTATTTGTCATAGTCCAGGATCTCAGAATCGAAACGACTCAAGCGAACAGACATGTACCGTTTCTGCTTAATTACTGTTGAGAGCTTCAATCGACGAAAACATTTCAGAGAGAAACCAAATGATGCTGCCATAGCTAAAGACGCTTCACCAGACAGCAAAAACCCAGTAAATACCAGTTGGCGCTAACGTTGGAGCATTGATGTTGGTTGGTATAAACAGAAGAATGAAATAATGCTCATGTGTTAAGCATATGATAAACTGAACAGGGATTTAAACTTGTAAACAAAAATCTACTTTGATTAAGCTTTATGCAGCGTTTTTGGGATTTGTCCACGACTGTGTAACTCTTGGGCAAATTTATATTAAAAATCCAGTCACAATTTCTTAAATTGTGTTGTACCAAGCTTTTGTTAAAAAAGTTGTTATGAATTTTTGAAAAATTTTAGTAGCATTGTTATTTTTTCTAAGAGTAAAACCAGGCCAATACACAGGGTGAAACAGAAATAATTGAAATCTCCATAAAATATCAAAATAGACTTTGTGATGAGACCGCTTTCTAATGAGCAACCCAATGGTTTTGAACATCATATCTTTCTTGTGAAAAGGAAAATCCATTGACGCTCTCACTAGCGTCCATCTTCCCACCTCGGCCTTCATTCTCTTGGGACAAGCAGACTGAATAACCAGGAGCACTCTTCCTTAGTAATATGGTAACGAACGCAACGTGGTGATTTGGCTTTTTCATGTCTGGAGTGGGCGTTTCCCCGTGGGTAAATAATTTCGGCTCCATAACGAGACTTGTGTTCCCCAACTCCCCTCCTCTTTCAGAAAGTCTTTTCAGACAAACATTCAGTGCAATTTGCCTTAGTCTCTTAAATAATCACTGCCAAATTTAATTGACCTGAGGCCTAATGATTTTTTTTGCTGTATCCCCAATTTACTGCCTTTTAAACTTGTCTCAAGTGTTACGAAATCAAAAGTCGTCCCATAAGCTCGTTGCGCCGGGAACGCGCATGCCTTGAGAAAGACATCTTGCATTGCACAATGAAGGTGTTTTACAGCCAATAAGTTTTGCAGGAAATCAGATTTTGTCTTCTCCACTTCCTTATCCAAATGCATCGAGAGGGAGCCTGCTCAGCCACGAGGCTCCACCAATATGCCCTCTGGCTCCCTAAAAACATGCACAAAAATAAACAGGCATTACGCAGCTCTCCCGTCATTTTGAACACCACCACTCGCGATTACATTACATTAAATGTCTGCATTAGTACACCAAATCCAAAAATTCAAACTGGTCCCCCTCATTGGTCTAGTTGATTGGTGTTGGCCAAGTCCTGATTTGCCTTGTGCCATCTTCCGTAACTGATACTGCTCCCGCCTGACGAAACAGTAGTGTTCCAAATAGGTTATTGAGCAGAGTGAAGGCTGACGCTTCCTTGCATTCAGTACACACTCAAACCTGCGCCTTAGGGACCATCCAACGGTAACCTAGGATTGGCAAAATGCATCTGAATAATAAACCCAGAACGGTTTCCACAGGACATCAAGAAGTGGCCATTATAATAAACAGTCCGAAACTCAAAGTAAGGAATTCATAAGTCTGTTGGATGATCGATTTGTCGTTTTTTCTCTGTCTCTTTTACTCACGTCCAACATGATAACCGCGTAGTACACCAAATGAGTCTCTCATTATAGCCCGTTAGATAGCAAAACTATCTAAAAATTCTGGTTAAAAAAATAAGCTCCTGTGGTTTATAATTATCAGGTCACAACAGTGACCAGGGGGAAATTGCATAGAGGCTGTTATAATTTGCCCAAAATTCGTAAAAGTAAATTAGAGCCACTAGGAAGCAAGCACAATAGGAAAAACAAGACCCCCTAAATTTTGATTGTGCCACGCACGACCCTGGTAGATTGATACTGCGTTTGACCGGCCTTGGGTGTCACTGTAACGTGTTGTCATAGCCAACTCTCGGGGCCTTTTCCTATATACTTGACCAATCCCTTAGGGAGTTTATGTTTCAACTACTGGGTTTCTCTGTCATAACGAGTGGTTGAATGCGTGTCTAAAAAGATACACCACCCATTCCTCGTAGCTTGTTAATGGTTAGTAACAAAAGTGGCCCTTTGTCGGTTCTTGTAGATGTGCTGCGTATTGAACATCTGTGCCCGGAGTTATTCCGACATTCTTCAGGGCTGTGAAGAGGCTTTATGGGCATCTACTTCGGGCCATTGATATTTTAGAAGTATCCATGCTACACGAGTATGAGATGTCCTCTTATACCCCATCGAGCCAATCCAGGGGGCTGAAGACAGCGGCAGAATAGAGAACCAACGAAAATATTGAGCCGGTGGCAGTGTCTACAAATCTTCCTCCGTACACAAAGGGCATGAAACTCAAAAAGCGCCTCAAACATGCAGGATACGGTCATTGATCCCGGTCCAAAGTCCAAAAATAACAAATCTTACCGCCACGACAATCGTAATGTTTTTCTCCTTTCTCACTTGCATATCAAACTTCAGAACTTTGAATCGAGTCGAGTGATTGAAGGTGAACATCCAGTGTTTGTGCTGCATGGAGTGCTTGGAATACATTAATGTGTTGTGGCGGATGAGGGCTCGTATCCACCTTTTCTGGGACAGAAGTCGTCCACCCCTTATTACGAAGCCTGCGCAAAGCTAGTCGTTTACTACCTAAGGCGTCTATTCAATCAGACAACTATTTCACATTTCCTATGTTCAAAAAATTCCCAAAAGATAAAAGGTTCCGATTCAAGACAAGCTCTTTCTACGATGGCAGACACTAGAAAATCATTGGAAGCGCAATTCAACTTTACTTCCTTTACGTAAGTTGCACCTGCAAAAAAAAATTCAACCGCACTTTCAAGATGCATTCTAATTTCCTTTACTGACTAAAACTGAATTTAAACTAGAAAAACTAGTTAGTTAGGCTTGTTGTTATACCCACTGCTATTAACCGAAACAAGTATCTTATGCCACATTCAATAAATAATCTTCGCATTTGTTGAAACAATATGCTATCATTTGGTACATTTTTATTTAATGACTTCAAAAGAAATGAACAAAAGCTAGTTTTTTACTGCATCGCATAAACTTGCGGGTAATTAGAAAATTGTTTTATTTTTGCTTTCTTGGTGGTGCTTGTTCATTTGCGGCGCACGAATTTAAGGATAAGCGGCTTGTTTGGATCCTGGCCTTTTCAAGTGTGATGTCTCGGCAGGGCGGTTTTTCCGGTGTATCCTCTTCAGATTAGACTGTTATTTTTGTTCTTGCAGATTATGTTCATTCAGTGAGTCAATTTCAGAGGTTGGGGCTTTGGACTGGAAGCATAATTATATTTTGTATATTCTAAATTATACTGCTGACATGATGTTTGATTCTAATGGTTTCTTTAAAAGTGGCAATATATGACCTAAATGCAACTAAAATCTGTGGCGCCTTTTTTGTGTGCCTTATTCTTAATATGTTATTTTATTCATGTTATGAGGTCTTATTGTTTCTGTTTGTTTTTGGGATGGCTGGTAATAAATGGCGTTGAATTATATGTTAGTATTGGTTTTTATTGATACTGAAGTGTTAATCCCACAACTTTTTTAACAGTGCCTACCTTACTAAAGAAACTAGCACCTTTCTTAGGTAGAATGTGACTGCCTTAACTTATTTTTCACACTACTGTAACTGAGAGGGTCAGGACAAATAGTCTGTTCCGGAAGTCAATTTTTGTGCTATCGCAGTTAAAGCAATGAAATATTTTTAATGAGCTGGCAATGCGCAGTAAGTTTTCTCGCCCCATGCACTGGTTCAGCCCCATTACCATCCTGCGCGTGCTTACATGAGTGGTGTCGAACTAACTGAATCTGATCGGCTTTTTGATGGACGACAGGTGCCTCATTGCGGGATTATTTGGGGTGAAGACCAAATAATCCTTCTTTTAGTAAGAAGACTATACGCGGTGCACACTTTATTAAGGCAAGCGTTTAGAATCGGTACACTTTTCATATTTTGGTACTCGGCGTCATTTGCGCCATATTTTCTTAATTGCAATTACCACTTTCGTATTGCTTCCATTAGTGGCTCGTAGTTCGTTGAATTGAGATTCATGAATAATTGAAGGAGTTCGGATCTTCGTCGAATACCAATAATCTTCTTTGACCCTGCGCTCGTATGCGACCTGAGAATATGTTCACCTTAGTTCCGTAAATTGTTTTTTTAATCATCTCTGGTGACGTCCGCAGTTTTTCTTCGGTAAATACGTACAGCGCGAATGTCAGCGTCTTGTTTCAATTTCTAAGACGATTGCTTTCTCTGCTACCATAATTGCCTGGCAATTTTGATAATTTCGATTTCGCTGAAACCACGTTTCCGGTCGACTGGGATAATTTGTATGCGGATTAGCTGGTGTAGTTATCTGGGTAGGCAGGTAATACTCTTATATCTGAGGCTGCGTGGCATTCGGCAAATGATATCCAGCTGATGATGCAACACCTTGTGGGGTTGTATGTATAGTTTTAGCAGCCGCAATTTCCACAGCTGTTTCGTCTATGTCTTCCTGCTTAATTTCCATGGCACTCTGCTCTAGAGATGGGCTTTCACTACCGCCGGACTGCTGTCCATCAGGTATCAGACGTTTCAATTCTTGTACATTGTAGCCAGCATTACGACCTATTTGAGGTGGTTGACGTAAGCCTGCTGCTACGATGGATGTGATGGCACCTACGGTGCCAGTAGCACCTGCAGTTATGGTGGCAATAGTAGGCAGGGATCCGGCTTGAATAGCTGCGGACAAAGCTCCTAGTGGAATGCCAAGAGTAGCACCGATAGCAAAGCTAATGCTAGCCCATTTGGCATCTTTGGGTTTTATGGATATGTATTGATTTGCTTCCTCTTCTTTCCTTACCTCGTTATTCTTATTTTTATTTCCTTTTCTTCCTCTTTAATTTCCTGCTTAAAGAATTGTTGCGGTTTAAAGACTTTCGTCTTAACTTCTCCAGGAAGAATGTACAAGCACAAACACAAGTGCAATTCACAGCATGGACTAAAGACTCCAACAAGGAAGTCATTAACCATAAGCACTCCCCGCTCATAGTGCACTGCGTTTATTTCTACGCCGGGCGCTTCGCATTCAGTAGTAAGCCGCCCGTCCTCAAAAACAGAGCATGTTAATGAACGTTTGTTTGATATAAGCGTCATAGTATACACATTGATAGGGTTTTCCACCAATTGCGTTGTGAAATTTCTTCAACAGCACAGTATTTTTTGTTGTGTACATTGACCTTTGACTTGGTGGTACATGTTCTGGTATGGAATGGAAAAATACTTCTAATTCAGTTCCAATAATAACATTTCCATGAAGCTATCTCTGCTTTCCATTGTCTTGAGGACGTCCATGCCAGCTACTGGTTAAGTTGCTTCCGGGATACCATCTTTGCTTATTCTAACTAGCGTGTATTTAGAAAGATCAATTTGCACTTTATCCACCTACATGACACCACCAGTTGCTTGTGTAGTGGATGGTAGTAATCGGCAAATTTAGTTCGAGCTTTCCCAAATGACATGAAGGGGTTGACAGCATTCCGCTTAGTACTCAGCTCATCCTTATTCGCCTGGAAGCTGTACTTGTTCATGAAAGGCTCCGAGAAGGCTGTATTCAAAATAAATGCAGTTGATTGACTTGGCTCCGCCTTCTCCTCGTACAGTCCGGGTGTGATTACCATACAGCGATTCCTGCGTGTGACTGTGTGTCCTGTATTGCCAAAGGCTGGCAGTTTGCCAAACGGTATTTGAAGTGTTGACGCAGCCGTGGTTTTATTCTCCCTTCCTCCTACTGCCTTAACACCACGAGTTTGGCGCGACAGTACCCGTCTCTCAGCCACTGGAGCGTCTTTATCCCGTTCCCATCATTTACATGTTTATACTTCTGTAAATCAAATTCATCTAAAATTTATATTTCTTAAGCAACTCTAGTAAATCACAAGTACACAACCCAGTAGGAGGTTTTGGAATGCTGCCCACGACAAGGTACGAGATAATTCGATAGTTTAAGTTGTACTGTATTACTCTTGTTAGTAGGACATCGCGATCCTGACCGGACAGACGGCAACCAGTGTCTTCATTTGCAGTTACAACTATAGAAATTCTGCGCGACCACTGCCGGCCGCCGTATTTGACATCTACCCCCATGTTTGTGCTACCAAGGAGGAGTTTGAAGTCATCTTTCGTTGTCATTGTGATCCTCGACTTCTCCATCAGTGCCACGGTCTTGTTGGGTAGATTGTCAGACTGGAAAGCAGTTTGATCACCTCGTCACGTTATTGTTGCAACCCATAAGTTACCAATAATAGGATTAGATCATACTATTACTGTCAACTTACTCTCAGTGGAGCTGCGATGAGTCCGGCGATAAGCGGCTTGCCCGTGTTCGTTATGCCTCATAGGCACACCGTACTGATTCTGTTTTTTTTTTCCCAAATCCATGATGTCGATCACGTTCTGAAGAAAACTCGGGATGTCTATGTCATTTTTCCTCAGCATTGTCTCCAACCATTGGGAACCTTGTGCCAAGTCGTTTTAATTCTTCACTTTGCACTCCTGTTCCAACCGTTGGATGTTCTGAAGATATGGCGTCTCCTTTTCTAACCGTACGAGTACGCGGTTATAGGAGTTAATATATTGTTTTGCTATATCTTTCCACTGAATACCAATTAGAACATCTAGCTCTACGGCCTCAGTTGGAGTAAATTTGTCATAGATATCTTTGGGCTTGATGATCTTCCGACACCAAATCTCCGATCGAAGATCTTCGTAATTGCTCTTACGATTGCTTATCTTCAACTGGGTCCTTTCCTCGTTCTTTTGCCTGCGGCCTTCAGAAATATCACAGGTGGTATTGCTGGTGAGCATCGGCATGTCTTGTGCCAGCTTGTACATGTCCTCCATCTCCAATCCAACAAGAATCACAACTCCTCTCCCTTTTGTACATTGCAAAGCTCGAATTGGATCGGTAACAGTTTGGTTGCTCATTCGCTTCCGATACCAATCCACGTATATGAGAGGCGAAAAAGGGCATGGATATGGTCGACATGTTTAGCATAGGTGCATGAAGTTTTGCTCGGGAGCTTCGTACCACTAGGAAGAATCATTGAGTAATCTTCATTTGCAGTATGAGCTCCATCAACTCGTGGATTGGGAATCGGTGTGTCTGAAATAGCAGGTTGTTTAACCAGCCGAGGTAATAGCGAATCTGCCCTTCCCGGAACCTAGTCGTCCAGTTGGATGATTTCCTCCGCGACATTTCGTTATGTGTTGATAAGCTCTCTCGCAAAGTCGATTCGCGGCAAGCGAAGAGGCGAGGGTCCATCTTCGAGAGCTTGGCTTCTGTTTGCTCGTTTATCCTCATCACTGCCGATGAAGAGATCTTGCTGGAAGAAGGCATGAATGACTCACAGGCGTATTGCAGTTGTATTTATTAATAAAATTTGTCTTAATTGATTTGTTTACCGATATCCAATCGGTAAAGGAAAATCGCATTATTTATCTTTTTTTTTCATCCAATAAAAGGAGTAATTGCACATGCCTTTGTTCTCTTTCCCGGGGATGTCTGCTTTTCGAGGCCCTTGAATGAAAAATTAGCAGTTAAAGGACATTACCGGAAGAGTAGCGGTTCTTTTACCTCAAACATTCCCGCTTTGGCCTCCTCCTCTTCTCTCTTCCTGTGTGAGTCGCCCGTCGTCCATCGAAAAGCCGGTCATATTCAACCAATTCCACGCCACTCACTTGCGCACGCACGTGGCAGTAATGGGGGGGGGGGGGCAGAACCAACGCGCAAGAAGCTCTCCCGCCCCGCACCACCACCAAGCGCGCACGCACATGAGTGGCGCTGGCTAGGGTGCTCAATCTCCTCGAGAGGTCCGTGCAGATACACCACTTTGCTAATCTGTTCCCTACTGGTTGGTTAGTGGCATTGCTGCTAATAGCCACCCTCAGCTTGGTCCGCAATCACCCACCACGATCGTAGCCCAGGTCTGCCCACTACGTGCCCCCGTGGTCCACTCTCAAGGTCGATTACAACCATCCATCGAAAGAGAAGTTTTTACTTCACCTTCCGTCTCCTTGTCTGTGACAATGAGAAATAATTAAAAAATTCGAAATCCCAAATCCCCAATCTTCCCCAAAAAAACAAAGCGGGAAAATTCGTATGGAGTAAAAGTTGTTGAGGGAAAATTTGACTCCTGAGGAGTCCATAATGAGGAGGAGTATTTGGGTACAGATTTTGGAGAGACACGATGGGACGAGGGCTTCTGTGATGCGCTTTGGTACGTGGAGGAGGAGGAGGAGAGGACGGAAGGCAATGGAAGGAAGGGATGGAACGGGTCAGAAGCGACATACGTACGTATCGTGATATACATTCACTCGTCTCTCTATGTATATATATATATATATGTGTGTGTATATCGGTATAAAAGTGGGAATCAAGAAAGGACGAAGTGATGGTGATAACGGGCGGTGCCGAAAGTGGTGGTTCCACTCGGCCGGGTGGAGATTAAGGGGGGAGGAAAAGGATAGGTAACCTAGAAGTTGATGTCCCAGCCCGACATCTCGTCTGGTGGCAGATCGTCCGAAACGGGGAACTGGTCAAAGTTGCTGAAATCACATGGCCCGTTCACCTAAAGGGAGGGTGCGGAGACAAAGTAATGTAAAAGGCCGAAAAATCTGCACAAATGACAATCGCTCTCTCCTTACCTTGGGATGGAACGGTGACTGCAGTGTCTGATTTCTTACACCGTCCCAATCAAAGCCCTGGAAGTACCTAAAACCGGCAAAAACAATGTATCAGACGAATACTGCTACGTCCGTCTACTTAATTTGAATGAGTGGTGTGGACTCACTTTTGGTTTCGAATCTCCTGAATGCCCTGCCGACCCATGCCAAGGCGTTCAGTGGGGGTGTTTCGACACAGCCGCTTTATGAACTGGTAGGCCTTTACACTGATGTTCTTGTGATGACTCAGGTCGTACGCCTCAATGCCTCGGAGCGCCTTCATGTAGATCTTTATCGGTTCTGAAGCTTGGAAGGGTGGGCTGAAGTTAATAAGATTCAGGGATGTCATTATGGAGTGTGGCAGGGTAGGTCATACGAAGCTAATCACTTTATTCTAGGTGTACTCACGTGCCCATCAGGAGTTCACAAGTGAGGATTCCGAGGGACCAGTAATCAGCGGCAAAGTCGTGGCCTTTATTCAGGATGACCTCTGGTGCTACGTACTCCGGTGTTCCACAGAACGTCCATGTCTTACGTTGGGGACCCAGCCGCTTTGCAAAACCAAAGTCACACTAAAGGGAAGAAAATATGCTTTGAAGATTTGCAAGATGGTCCACATTATTTAATTTTTTTCCCACTTATTTTGGGATAACGGGGAACGAGCATAGCGTAATTTTAAAAGCACTCAGTTTAGAACCTCTGGAAACTAGGTCAGTCGCAAAAGGGAAACTCACGAGCTTTATATAACCAGTGCTAGTTAGAAGCATGTTCTCCGGTTTCAAATCCCGGTAGATAATCCCCTGATGATGCAAATAATCGAAGGCCTCAATCACGCAGGCCAGACTGAATCGCGTTAGCTTATCATCGAAGGCGCGTCTGCAGAGGGAAAAGCGTTACAATCATCGGCTCTCCCAACCCCGATAAAACCGCAAATAATCTATCTACTTATTTTACATTAAGTAGGGTTAATTTTGTACGATTCGGAATGTGAAGATTAGGCACTACTTTATGCGGATTTGGGAGAATCCAAGGCGAGGCAGGGAAAGAGGTGACAGCTGCTAACTCACCGGTCACGAAGGACAGTCCACAGTTCGCCACCGGGACAGAATTCCATCAGCATGTAGACAAATTTGTTGTCTCGGAAGGTTTTGAAGAGTCTGTGCGAAGAGATAAGAAGCGGTAAATGGGTGTCCACATTGTATCAGAGCGGTTTTAATTTGACCAGCCAATCAATAGAGACACCTATTTGTGACTGGGCGATAAACTGCCCAATCAAAAGTTGGTGATATAATGTAGTCCCGATTTCACCTTGAGATTGGAAAAAAATGCGTATTTTGATTAAACTTGCATTTGAAAAAATCCCCAGTAAAAGGCAGGCAAAATATGGAGCAACATTTAAGGTACGTGATGTCCCACGCGCAGAAGGAATGTATAGGAATAATTTTTTCGGAACTTACGTTAAGACATCCCAAGAGGGTGCGAAGGTTGAGTTATGCTGCGCTTGCAAGAAATTATTCATGCCACAAACGTGGAGTCTCTGACGCCACCCTGGGAATTTTTTTAGCTTTCGCAAGCAATGCAAAAGAACCACTGACCAAAATAAGGACATACTGCATATTTAGTAGCCTAATTCGTTCAGAAATTTGAAGAAAAGGGTGACATACAGTAAGTAAATTACAGAGCGAACACCCCAGATGAGGCAAAGGTCCTTCAAAAATAACTTAATGCAATGTTTAGGATAATTTTATGCGATTAGTTACTAGGATTTTCAGTGTTAGCAGACCTCGGCTAAGTAGACCAACGAAGTAGTCATCCAACGACTCTCTAAATATAGCAGTCCTCCGAACGGACAAAATTGCAACAACTATGCTTTGAGACATGGCATCGGTTCGATTGACTTTCTGAGCCAGCGGCAGCGATTGATTTGAGGACTTCGGAATTTTCAAGTTCATCCAAAATTGTGTGATGAATACAAGGCAATTTGTCTCGAAGCCTGCTTTTCATTTATCTACCCAGTTGGAGCTGGCAAGGGAAGTGTAAACAGCTCTTTCCCCCCTCCCCGGCGATGCAGTGCCTTAAAGAGCAGAGATGGGGGGAGAAGGATGTGAACCATCTGTTGCGCTACTCAGCAGAAGGTAAACACACTTGGATGCCACTGCCCTCTTTTGTTCCTCTGGAAGCTCTCCTCCTCAAAAATCCCAACCTGTAATTGGTCGCGCACGGGGCTGAAACAAATGGTAGGATGTTTCAGCAAATGCTTAAGCTCTGAACAAGCATTGGAAACAGTAATTTATCTTTTATTTTTCGACCTTTCACAAGTCTGCGTTGACCGATTGGAAGGTAGTCGAGGGTCCGTAATCATTCCCGGATGCTAAAACCCAATTATCCTTTTGTTTAATCGTGGAGATGTATAAGCACTAGTTACGAATTCGCCTTCGAAGTGTCTAAGAGATCGTGTCACCGAAACACAGTAACTGTGTCGATGGTTAGAGTGAGGAGGTCTCTTCTGATGGGCGATTTTGATTCATTCCCGACACTGATGCATGAATTGGTCAATCACGTGTCACACGAGGGACAGACATATCTGATCCGGGAGGCGAAAGCGGTTATTGTGAAAGAAGGCAATGAAGACGGGCGTAGGAATTTGCACCACAACTTGACTACTGTGAAGGGACAATGCCACTCTCTCCCCAAGTTATTAAATAGTGCGCTAAACCGATTTATCTTTATGTCTACTGTTGAAGCTGTTGTCAAGGCTCAGCAAAATTGAATTCCCTTTTTTAGAAAAAGTTTAAGCAACAGCAAAAATAAAATGCTTTTTGGAAAAATTTGTTTAAATGTTAAGAATGTACGATTTCTCTTGAGGTACCTCAGCTTAAAAATGAAAATAATTTGGCTTCTTCCCGTTAGGGTGGTAGTGAACCACCGTCACTGAGGCCACACTCATGAGCTGTTTCACTCTCTCAAGAAAAAAAAACAATGAATTTAAGCTTATTTTCTCAATTCTCGGTAGAACGTGTTCCAATATTGCAGATCCAGAAGAGGCAACAGTTGGTTAAGCAAAACGCCGCACCAGAAAAAAAACGACTGGACCGTCCACACGCGCGTTGTCATTAATTCGGTGGATCAAAGAGAGGGCAATAAAGTAAAAAATAATGCAATAGATTGACTGAATAGAGGATTTTGTGATTTGTTTGACTCCTGTCTACTCACAGAGGAGAAGGGAGATAGTGACTGGTTGAAAGGGTTGTTGTCCCAATTTCTCGAACATTTAATGGCATTGCGATTCATGCAGCCGTCCGACATAGCTACCCTGGCTCAGTTTAAGAGTTTAAGAATGAAGAAAGTGTTGGATCCATCACAAACACTACTAGTTAATTGAATTTCGTCGCAGTTCAGTTTCGTCGAAAACCGTGTCGATTGACATCTCGATTGTACATTACCGAGGAATATTTGAATGGACTGTTGCAAAGACCTGGTTGATTGTGTTTATTAACAACAACGACTCCTCAGAATCGTCGTATAGACGTGGATATTGTCGTATCAGCGTAGCTGTCTCAACTTTTTGAAAAAAGTAAAATGGTCAGAATACAGAGAGGCTAAAAACATTAAAATTTCTGCTCCAAAAAAGGGAAAATTTGGGAAATAGAGGTGGATCCAAACGATGGATAAATAGAACGATGAAGGAATGGATCCGTAAAGGATGTATGCAGGATAGATGGATACAGGATGGATGGATGGATGGATGGATGGATGGATGGATGGATGGATGGATGGGTGGACTAAAAGAATATTAAGCGAAACCACTTGACTGCTTATTTAAATTTAGAAATAAGGACCCAGAATCGGCGAATTCTCCGCTAACTGTTGTAATTGGTAGAACATTCTTTGTATAATGCGCCTATTCTACAGAGGAACCGGAGGGTTCGCGACAGAATAACAAGTAACGTTGATGCAAAAAATGAACCACTTAGTGGAGCAAAAAAGAAGACAAATGAGGACTCACTTGCAGATGAAACAGTTGTCGACAGACATGAGGATTTGCTTCTCCGAGTGAACATGGTCCTGCTGCTTCGTCTCCACAATATGCACCTTCTTCATACGTTTCAAAGCGAAGGCGATGCTGTGGTCGCTGATTGGTCGCACCTGGATATTAAAACAAAAGATTGCTATGATTCTACGACAATATGGTATCCGTTTCGACTATTCCTCAGTCTTTTGTGAATTTTTTGTGCTCTTATAATTCTCCGCCCACGATGATGGCATCCATTAGCTTTTCCACCCTTCGGTACGCTTAAACCAAAGGTACATCCACACCAGCTCGACAAGACCAAGACGGGAACGAAGTTGAATGATCTGGAGAAGCGACTTGCCACGTGGAGTTTGCCTTAGACTAATTTCTTCTTCGAAAAGCGGATGCCATGTGACGTAAGGCTTCCCCTGTCAACGTAGATCAGAGTAGACAAAGCCCATTACAATTTTCAAGATGAGCCTATTCCACTGGATTGTGGAATTTTCACCGGGAGTGCCATGGCCGACGTCCGAAGAGGCTGCATGGCGATTTGGTATAGAAGTCCACTGTGAACCAATGGCCATGACAATTGCTTGGAGTTCTGGTGATAGCTTCCATGCAAATGAATCAAGTGAAATGGTTAAGACCCAAAACGAAAGGTCCACTATGGTCGCGCATTTCAAACAGTAATCTACGAAATGCCTTCAAACTAGGTGATACTTTCTGCCTTTTCGCTAAGAGATGATTCTAGAAAGCGAAGCCTTCGAAAAAAAAATGAAGCTCTTTTTAATGTGCAGAATTCCCTGCTCCAACGGGTTGAAACAAATAGTCAATTGAACTCACATTTCTGCTTATTCTGTTAAGCGAGAAAGCAAGTAATGGATGCCTTATTGTTTCAGATCCAGACTAATGGGTTAATGGCCCATCCAAAAAATGTAGTTTTCGCACTCCCCCCCCCCACCCACCCTCCTAGTGCCGACACCACTTTCGTCTAATGCGCGCAGCAAGCAAGGGTAACATACCAGTTCGACACGTCCGAAACCGCCCTGGCCAATCACAGCCACGCGTTCAAGGTCAGTAAGATGAAGGTTGGAGGAAACTTGGTATTCGTGGGCGTAGAGCTTGCGACTGGGTGGTGGTTGGACCCGGTCTCCTGCAGATGCTTTGACATCGTGCTGACCAAGTAGTTGATCGAGGGAAGTGGGACTGGCCGCTGTCAAGGTCACGGTGGGGTCATCTTCGCTCAACTTGAGAGGATGGGCTACCTTTAGTTGGCCTCTGAAGTGGCAGATGGTAAATGTTTTAGGACTACGAAGGGGGGGGACAGGTAAGGAGGTCAGAAGGGGTAGCATTGGTGCTAAAGTGCCATCTCAGACATCAAAAATGACTCCTTTGTGATGCGTACTTTTTGGACGTCACACATCATACTGCCACATCTCACCATCCAACCATTTAGGGTATATCCATCGAACAATCCAACAATATGTGCATCTGTCACCGACTTACTCCTTCAATCCCCCAAGAATTGCGCATCCATCCATTCGTCCAAACCATCCATTGGAAAATCTACCTATCCACCAGTGTTGAGCCGCAACCCAAACACCATTCACATCACGGATTCATTTATTCGTCAAAATATTTACTCGTCTATCCATCCCCCCACCTCTTCGTCAGCTAAGTCCCTAACCTACCCCTCCTTCCATCCATTCAGTCACCCAAACATCCATTGAATTGTTCGTCCTCCCATTAATCCACCGAATCTACTTGTCTCTGCCTAAAACTCCAGCCCTCCATCCATCCATCGAGTCATTTGTTCAGTTCCAGCGACTCTGTCTTTTATCAATGAGGTCCACTCCCTCAACCTTCCATCCAATGCCTAAACTACCAGTTACCCAACTAACTGTCCAGTTTTCAAACCTATCACTTCCGTCGCTTATCCATCTGCCTCTCTTCCATGTACGATTTGTGGATCAGAACTAGGTGATGGTAAATTTTATGTCTATCTGCCCGTCTATCTTCCAATCCATCGCCTCATCTATCCAATCACCCATCTATCCACTCGTCTCTTTATTTATCCATTTATAAAATGCATCCAATCCATCACACACAGACTCATCAACCCATTTGGCCGTTCACTTATCCCTGTTTCCCTACACACTTTCCAACTCACTTCTTTAGTTGTCCATTTATCCACCAACTTTGTCATCAATTTACCACCCTTTCCATCTACCCACTACAACACTGATCTGCCCCCCTCCCGCCTCTTTGTCTATTTAGAGATTTACCACTTCAACCACACTAGCATTCATTCGAGCAGATTTTCTTCCATCCAGCTGTCAGCTAGCAATCAGCCTGTTCGGTCATCCTTGCAAACATTCAAACATCCATGCATCCAATAGTTCAGCCACCATGTTATTCACCTATCAGTCTATTTTATCGAATTGGTATCCACCTATCAGTCATTTTTGCGGATCGATAGATGTACAGGAGGAGGTGGACTTACCCCTGTGATTGGAGATGCTCCAGATCCACATATTCCTTGTGCTCAAGATCAGCAATGTTGCCCATGAGTTCAAGGAAGTCTCTGCAGAAAAATAAAGTAAATTTGGACAGGAATGAGGGAACCAAAAGTGACCCAACTTAAAGCACAAGTTTAATGAAGTAACCGAGTATTTCTGTGGAATAGCAGCTTACTTTCGATAGAGGCAGAGGAGTTCCACACCAGCAGGTGAGGCGGCATAAATGTTGGCAGTGCGTCTACCTTCACCCAGGAGAGCCTTTTCGCCAAAGTACTCACCCTTCCTCATCCGACGGATCTCGATCTCCTTTGGCACACCGTCTGGACCCACTACCTTCATTGTGACACGAACCTGCACGAAGAGGAGGGGAAAGAAGATTTCAGGAAAGGGTAGCAGTAGCGTGAAAGCTGTTTGAGCTATGGATCAGCAGAGAAAATCACTTATTATATCAGCTGGTCAATTTTGAAAGGATGAATGGATGGGTGGATGGATACAGGATGGATTGACGCGAATTAGACGTTCAGGTATGACTAAAGTCATAGCCAAGTCAAAATGGTAAAAGCTGATGAGATTGCAGAACAGGCTGCTTGACCATGCTACACAAGAAATTTCTTGCGTTTGTGTGCCATGGTAACATGATTCATTGCCTAATTTTATTAGTTGCATTTGTTTGCGTGGAATTTATGTCCATGTTGAGACCACCCCACTGTGAGGTGCCCTCTTCAACTCCTTCGACATTGCGACATCTTAATTTTGCTTGCAAAATCGTGCGACAGTCCGCAGTCATGTTAACAAGAATAAACAACAAATTCGTTTTAATTAAAAAAGCATCATAAAATTTCCTGGTTTCGTTTTATTGCTCTCGGAGGTCAGAAGGGGTGTGTATCATAAAAGTCGGCAGTAGCAGCCGACGGCGTGTCTGCCTCGAAATATCGGCTAAAATGATTATTTTTGTCCACTTAAAGGAAGTGAAATGAGAGATCTTAATCGCAGTATGGTTGTTTACAAAGTAGCAGCGAAAAATTTTTTTCTGATAACTCTGCCAATTCATTTGATCACGCTACTAGTTGTGCACAGAGATCTGATCCCAGGTGTCATCCCTGAGACCTCGTTCACCCATTACTCCAACCCTTCAACACTTCTAAACCACCTTTAGATTCACCAAATACGACGGTGGCTTTGGCTTCTAATCATTTCACCAGCCTCTCAGTCCCTCCGTTCCTATCGCAGACGTACGCTTGATAGTCCCGACTATTTCGTAGGGGCATTCAGCTCATGTTAGAACATTGTGGAGCCTACAGCACTGCTGTGCGCTAAACAGATATTAACAACCGTCATCTCCGTTTTTGTCAAGCTCGCTGGTTGATTTCACTTGGAGGCTTCAAGAAAGCTAGTCGAAGAGGAGATAGATTTCCATTATTTGGGGGGCCATCTAATGCCGGTTCTGCATGCCTTCAAGTTCCGCCTCTCTTCCAACCCTACCTCACACGGGTTTTTTTCACTAACTTTTTGAGATATCTTGAAAGACTGTCTTAATATTTGTGCTATGGTCCTTGGAACACAAGGCAACATATCAAACACATCAATCGGCAAAAGCGGTTCTCAACCAACCTCGCCCGATTGGATGATGAAGAAGCTGTCCGCCTGTTCATCCTGTCGAATGATGCATTCGCCATCGGGGTGGAATTGGGCCTCCAAAACATCCGCTATACGTTGAAGCTGACCCTGTTCTAGGTCCTTCAGAAGAGGCACGCTAGAGGAGTTAAACGAGATAGATGCTGATGAAGATGAGGGGGAGGAGGACCTGACTCCCGATTGTTAGGTGGAAGAACTCACCTTGAAAGGAACTTTACTCTCGCCTCCATCTTCTCCAAGCCCGTTTTCATCATGATGTACTGGAAGATGCTTCTCTCCAAAACCCAGATATTTGCAGCTCTGACAGCTACAAAGGAAGGCAGGAGGGGTGAGGGTAAAGAGATGTACATCTTAGACATCAAGTTTGACAAGGAATGGAACCAGATTTAGAATTTTTCAGAATTATCGGTAGTCTCGGAGTGAAAAGGCACTTGCCTTTGTTTAATTACTTCAGGTTGTTTTAAATAGCAATTTGGGTGCGGTGAATTGTACCTCATCACGAAGAATGGCAGCACTTTGAAACGCCTCTCATGATACACATTTGGCGAAGCAGATAGAACAAGGAGACCCGCTTTCGTGTTTGAAAAAAGGAAAGTAGTGTTAAAAATGCTTGTATGATGGATAAAAGTCAAGACAGCAACAATCTCGTCATGTAGAAGTGAAGGTTTGCTGATTACGGATTTTTAGTGCATTATCTTGGAAGAAATACACCGTCTGGAGACGCCCTTGATGAAGGTAGATGGATGGTGAAAAATTTATTCCTTTATTCGCCGATGGCCATACGGATGCTTTCAACTCCACTTTGTCTTGAGTCAATCATTTCTGTTCTTCTAAAAGTATTTTTTGCAAGCCATCGGCCACAGACAGAGAAGTCATGCCTCAAACAGACTTCCTCAAACGTGTGAAGATGGGTAAATTGAAAGTCCAACCTTCCAGTTTTTCTGAAGTCATCCAACCAGATAATACTGTCTCGAATGACCTCCACCAAAAGTAAAGAGGACAGAAATTGCTTCTTTAACTATGAATAAGTTTGACTTTGACCCACATTAACTCAAACTTGTCACCTCTTCCGAAGGCATTCCTAAACTGCTAAATCCATCATCTAGAGAGAGCATGTCTTGGATGACCTTTGCTAAACGTAAGTACGGAGAATAAACTTGTCTCCTCACTATTCAATGAAGACACTAACAGTTTCAACTGGAATCCGCGTTGATTTTGGACTTTTGGTCCTTTCAAAGGTACTCCTAGACTACCGGATCCTATGGATAGGGACATCAGCTGCTAAGGGAATCTCGTTGGACCTTGAGAAGGCAAATTTACCCTTTCAATGATTAACAGCTAAATGGGTGAACTCAACTTCCATCCAAGGGGATTTTGGTCTTCCTCTCTCTCCAAAGATCCTATAATGTAGAGACGGAATGCCTTGAATGACCTTCTTCGAAGGAGGGGCTGAGTATGTACCATAGAAATTTCGATTAGGACATGAACGAGGTCGATGTGGACCCACATTGATTTTATCTTTCCAGCTCTCGGATCCAACTCAGATCAACTTGATTGGTAACCCAAAAAGACAGCTGGATAGCCTTAAAATTACTGAGGGACTGGAGGAAGGGAATATGACCTGAGTAGAAATAGAGTTCGCCTTTCACATTATTCAGATGATTGACATGGTTGGGCCTGCATGTCCACTCCGTCAAATAAATCCGCCTTAGTGTTAGTCAACTGGAAGAGGATTTGATGCGTGAAATCACCTCAAAATCCACGAGATCTGCCATTGCGGCAATAAGGCCAGTGAAGTTGAATACCCCCTCGCTACAATGCGATTTCTCCACCAACCTACTGTCAAATATCGTGAAGTGCTTAACACTACATCTCCCTTGAAATCAAAGGTCCACTTTGTACGGCTTAGATTTATTGCCCCTTTTCTTCGTTCCAGTCTCATGAGTAGATTGTTTCAGTGGAGCCGTTGTTTGTGCTGCTTAAAGCAACCTTCAAATGGGGATCACACAAGTTCCAACCCAACACAACAATTTAAGGATGGGAATGGACAGTTAATTAAGAATAAAGAATACTTTTTGCAAAAGTCTTCTACCTTTTATGGAAGCTGTGCGTTTGCAATTGTAGAGGAGGGCCAGTTCACCGAAACAATTGCCAGGACCCATGGTGTAGAGGTATTTCCCGTTCTTCCACACCTCGTATTCACCCTCTAGAAGGAGCGAGATGAAGAAACCGAAAAGGTTAGAAAAAGGCCGCTTTTCCATTCGAAGCGGCTTTAGCAATGACTGGAAGGGTTTGAAGCCTGTGATCAAGCCTTCTTCTTTAGCACATTTTGTATAGGGCATTGTTTTAATTGTACTTTATACCACGTGGACCTTTCAGCCTCCAGGGATTCATTTTCCCATGGGGCGAGATGACCATCTGGCCTTAATAATGGCCGGCCTCACAGCCCTTCTGTTAGCTAATAAAAGGTTTTATTTCGTACTGGTGTGCGTCAGTGCAAAGCCTGAAAGGACTAGAGATGCCAGATTCGCTTTTTGCCTCGTTTTGTCCTATTAGATATTTCAACAACTCAGCTCCTTCACCCCATCCCTTTTCCAGCAAGAATAGGGGTGTCGTCACTTAAGAGCATTGTCAACACATTAAAACAGGTCCTGAAAGATGTCAATCAGAAACAGTTTTAAACACTTTCGGTTTTTTAATCTGTAGGCCTTATCATCATAGCACACTTTTCTTCAGGATTGTTGAGAAAACAACCGCAAGGTTTCCTCTTATTCTATCGAAGATTTATGCAGCCTCCGTGGGTTGCACTTCCACTCTGCGGCACGGTCCCCAGGTCAGTGTTGATGGCCTCTCACCTCTTCGCTACATTCGTAGGTAGCTGTGACCTTAGAGGAGACTCGGAGGTACTACAATAGTTCCATTGAAAAGGTCACTTGAAAGTGGTGTTCAATGAACTCTTTCGTCGACTTTCTTGAACTTTCCGTTTTTAAGCAGTAACATGAAGCACCCTTGAAATGGTCAGCTATCGATGGTTCCATATCCCTGCCTGTATTATTGCCCACTTTTTTTAGACAAGGTGTCAAACTCAACGTAAAATAGTAAATATGAGTCCAAAATCTCCATACTACTGAAATGTCACGTCTACAAATGCTTAGTTGGGAGTAGTTTTCATTTGAACTCCAACTTCTCAATTCAGTCGGTTACAAGATTAGGCAACTTTTCATGGACAAATTGAGTGCCATAAGATTTCGCGCGTGAGATTGTGTGTATTAATTACGCGCAAGATACCCATAACGCGAATATAGTACTGAAATACCTAACGCATATCTTGTTTATGTGTTGTTGGTTTGAATATTGCCTTTTAGACTAAAAGCCGATGTCATCGATGTCTCCATAAACTCTAGCAATCAGTGAACCTGTCCCATACTACTCAAATCCAAGGTACCCTTCTCCGCTCAATCTTCTCGATCCAAGGGTCAGAAGCAAAATAAATCGTCAAAAGTGACAAGAGCAGCATTTCAATCCACCATTTAGTGAAAAGAGCAGTTAACTAACGTTCTACTTATTAACAAAGATCTGTCGAAATCAAATAATCAAATGCTACAGACATAACTTGTCAAAAAGTTGCACTATTTGACAGCAGCTGAAGCATTACACACAGCGTATTGTTTTTATCCCACTTCAAAATCTGCTCCAACCCGTTTGTTTATATTTGCAAGTCAAACTTATTGCAAAAACCACATGATTAAGTCTTTCCAAATTTTTTATGACCGTAAGTCTGACACAAGCGATAGATAAGCAGACCCTGGAGTCCTACCAAGTTACGCATATACATTACCACAAAAAAAACTCATAGGATTGGGGGCCAAGGTGACCGATCAAATGTGAATGATAACCTTATGGGGGTTTACTTAGAAGAGCTGGCAAATAGATGCCTTGAAAAACAAACGTCGTCTCATGCTTTGCCCTCTTCTAAGGGTGGACCTCTTTTCATTAAATTTTTGTACCAGCAAGATACCGGAGAGAGCAAAAAGAAGGGTTAGAGAGGCTTACAGACAGACTTCAGTTTTTTCCACTTTAAAATAACAAGGTCAATTCGCTTAGGATTTTCCTCCTTTTACCCCTCCCCCACGAAAAGTAGTAGAAGTGTGAGTTATTTATCTCAAAAAGGTGAGCCTACCTGCAGCCACGTAGAGGTGATGGCCATCTTCACCCTCACGAATGACGTAGCAACCCTCCACAATGCTATGCTTGTACATACACGAGACAATCTCCTGCAATTGTACCGCGTCCAAATTTCTGAGGAACTCGTTGTTTCGTAGGGCATTGCGAATCTCCTGTCGCGACCTAAAATGCGTAAAATTAAGGTGGTATCAGTCAATGACTCTCAATCGGCTCACAAATCAGTTCGTTATTCAGAAGCCACGTCAAGTTTTTACCCACGCCCCGTACCGACATTTAGATGTTCATGGCATATAAAGCTCCCAGTCTCTACTGTCAACTAGTGTTATTCGCATGAGCCTAGAACGTGCCGAGCTCCCACCCAGAGTAGTCAGTAGACCAAGGCATCGATACTGACGTCTTTATGGGTCGTAGAGTATGAGTAGGCAAGGGACGCGCGGCGTTGGCGTACCTGCAATCTAGTTGGCAAATTACGAAACAGGGAGACGCCCGGTGGTTTCAATTAAGCGCTTTTATAGCATTTGATTGATACCGGCTATGCGGTGGGTGTTAGGATACCAAAAAGTACACAAGCATGTAATATTAACCAAGTAGGAGAGACTGAGCTGAAGCGCTAAGTTCCAAAACATTTGGTAAATCAGGCACCACAAATAGAAACTTATAGGACGTCGAACATGAACGTTTTCCAGCGGTGCAGGCATCCCCATAGGGAGGCAAAAGAGATCTATTGCTGTACGAAGGCCAGAGGAGCTTTTAAGATGGAGGGTGGTGTCTTTCAGATAGTTGAACCGCGGATTGACATCAGTCCATGCATATGTGAATGCGAAGACCTACTGCATCGTAAGAGTTAAAATGGTATGAAATTGTCTCTAATGCACTAGCACAATGGTGCGGTTGTCCATGATGAATAAAAGCCAGCAAATTAATGTTGGAAATGTCCATTAACCCATTCCCTGCCGAGAGCTCTGGCAGTGAACCAAACTGTAATTAACTTTGTTGTTTTCCATACAATTTACTTCGTTTTATTTTGTCACACGCGTCTGTGTGTCACATATGTGTGACGCTGGTGGGACACCCCATAACTTATTCAAATCGGAGACTAAACAAAGTGCCGGCATTGCTAAGTCAATTGCATCCGCGTTATTAGGGCGAGTAGACAGTATTTGAATGACAAAACGGCGGAAAGGAGGAAGAATAGGGGATACCCCCGCTGTTGGATAAATGACTCCAAGCGCATGACATTAGCGAATTTTGCTAAAATCTTCACCTACATTCGACAACTTTATATATTTCTTGCATAGAAGAACCCCATTTGTTGAGATTTCTTCGTAAAAATTACACGGTCTGTGAGAGAATGGAGAGCTAGCTGTACATTAACACTTTGTATCTCTGTCTTTTTGCCTTCATTTTTTGTCGAAAAACAAATTAGATTTTGAACAAGCAGTCACGCACTTCTTAAAATGTGAAATATTTCAAAGTAGTGAACCCATCAGTAAGGAAATTTATCGTTACACAGCAAAAAACTTGACTTGTAGTAAAATGTCGCGAATTTGCCACTATCGCACTAGTCTCACTCCGTACACAGATCCTCCTCCTGCAGAAGTGCGGAGAGGGGGTTTCAAAAATAGCGTTTTCTAATTAAAACGGAGCCTAAGGCGAGGACAACGTGCGTAGGCGTAAATGACGTTTCTAGGACGAAACCAATTGGCGCACAGTGACCAATCGATTTTGCTATTGGACGCTGGTGGGCCAATCATTGACAACCGTGACGCATAGAAGATAGACGGACCGAAAGTTATTTTGTTTACGTCTAGGGAACCAAGATTGTTGTCTGGTAATTTGATTTATACAACTTGGTGGCATTAATAAAGTAGGCACTAAATACAGGCGTTTAAACAACTGCAAATCACTTTGGAAAATGCGCATTTGGAGATGGAGAGATTGTCTGTTTAATTGACCAACTGAGACAGCATTTCAGTAAACTATAGACAACTGAAAAACAGTAGCAATGCTTTTTATAGGCACAGAACAAAAAAAAAAACCACGGTGACCACCACTTAAGTGGTTTATTCTTTTGAAAAGCCACCGATTGCCATCACGTCTATCTGCCTAACTTAACTTTTATTCAAGAAGTAAAAAGTGAGTGGAATTGTCTTAAGACTGAGAACATCGCAGATAGAAATGGTTTATACAGACACTAACTCAAAACTTCGGCGACGAATAAACCTTTGGGGCGGCAAGGATGTGTCTGGTTAATTAGTATACCGTTCTGGCAGTCGACTTGAACTTGTCAGATTAAACCACATGACACATGGGTGATAGATCTGAGGTGAAACCAACGTGACGCTGATTGATGAGCTGAAAGCCTTGAACACATTCGATACCGGAATCGACCCCAGCGGAAAAAACGACCAAAGTAAATTTATTGTTTCAATTGTCATCTTCATTTGCCTTTGATTAAACTCATGTCAACTATGTGATTTTAGAGTCTGGATAAAAAACCCAAAGCGTCACACACACAAACACCTGGGCAATAATTTTTTCACGACACCTTTTCTAGATCAGACTTAATGGGCATGTTAATGGCACATGACTCTCTCGAATCTATCCTGGCAATAATGGATTGCAGTAAGATGGGAAAGAAGGGGCGAGAAGACGAGTCTTACTTCGCGTCCTTATCATAGTACTTAATCTCCACTGGCGCGGTAGACTGCACAGCTATGGTTGGTTCAGCGGAGACACCTAGGCGTTTGCTCGGTACTCCTCCCGCACCAGCAACAGCAGGTGGGCGGAGGGGCGCAAGACCGTCGGCTGAAGTGGGGGAGGAGGTGGCCCCAGCGGAACCATCGGACGAGAGCGGTGATCGCGCCACCAACATTCCTGGGGCTGCGGAGCTGTTAACTGAATCCTGAGCGGCGTTAGTGGCAGCAGTGGCGTTCGTGTTGAAGGAGCCGCGACGCAGAGAGGAAGCACGCATAAGGAGGCTCTCGGCTATCGCGGGGGGATTCTTAATGGAAAGAGGAAAAGAGGGTTTCGAGTAGAGGTTATCCTTTCAGTCATTCATGAATCCATTATTTGAAACATCGATCAAGGGGATTGAAAAGGCTCTCAGTTATTGATAGAGGGGATTGTTCATCCCTTCATCTAGCCGTTGATGAAACTACTCCACTATCCATCCAAAAATTCATTCCGCCCTCTACGCATCTACTGAACCATCCACCTCCACCCCTGTCAGGTATCCAACTGTCACTTCAATCAATCATCCACGCATAACATTAAACTTATCGGCATACTTGCTGATTTTATAAATTCTGTTTTAAAATTTGATTTTCGTTAAATCAAACCCAGAATCATGTTTAGCTACTTCAACAGATTTCAGGAAATTCAAGATGAAGTAAATTCCAACAGCAAAAACTTCGCGCACATGTTGCAATTAATGAATAATCACCGCCTGTTGAGCTTCCATTTTCAAATAGTAACAATGGACGACTTCAACCCCCCTTCACCATTGGTGGAACAGGCACTAATGACAGGCGCTAAGCCGAAATTAATGACTAAGTGGGTTCTGCCACTTAGTTTAGAGGTTGACCAGGTGAACAAAGAAAAAAACTCGATATAAATTTTAAACGCGTGTCTGAATCGTCAACATACTTCTCTACTTCTTTTTTTACCAATCACCGGATCATTCATCAGTGCCTTGTCTATTCAGTCCTCCTTGATCCATTTGTCCAACCACAGACCAATCCAGCCAACCCTTTCGTCAGCTTATTCTGCCCTCCTTCTAGCCAGCTGTTCATTCATTCAACTGCTCCAGCCATTCAAACACCTAACCCACCATCTATGCGCTATGTATGTCCGTAACCCTTAAAGCGGCCTTCCACTTTTATGCATGCCCAACAGTCGAACATTCTAGGACATCCAATTCCCCTGATTGGCCGGTAAACTTAAAAAGTGCTAACAACCGCCGTGCGGTCAAGGCTAACCAAAATAACATAGGTACAGGAGAATGGTACCTTGACGTCCTCCGGTGTGTCGGCAATAACGCTGTTCACATTGAAATCCTCACCTCCTGATTGTTTAGGTTGGGAACGCGACATTATCTAAGCAGGCACACACAATCACCCAAATGGATGCCAATCCATCGGCAAACATGCACACCTACGCAATCATTTTTAGTGTCAGTGGACATCATAAAACCCGAGGTGAAATAAAAGCCTAGTGGTACTTATGAACGTTCGGCGGTACAGTGAATGTGCAAATCTCGCCTGCTTCGCGTCTCATTCCAGTGTCGAGCTATCTTTCCTCAGTGGGAGAAATGATTAAATACTTGTCCATTCAAACGTTCGATAGATCGTTCCCTAATCTCTGAACTATCTATTAACACCTAGGCCAGCCAGCCTGTCAGTCATCCAGGCATGTAGCTATCCATTCATTCACCCAATCATCAAGTCATCCACCTCACAGGATGTTCATTGAGCTTTCCATCCAGCCGGTTATCCGATCATCTAAGCGTCCTCTCCTGATCTCTCCAGCTACTAGATTTACGATCTCTGTAACCGATGAAATTACCAGAGACTTCATTTCTTAAGAATTTCTTGGCGGGAAAAAATATACACTTTACTTAAGGAGATTGGTGCTTTCTTTCAAAGGGCAAAAATTTTGTTGTTTTGCTCCTATTCCTAAAAAAACAGTAACAGTAAATAAGTGGAAATTTGGACACTTTGGCCAGGTGTCAATTGACAGCTATTCTCGGGAGTGGAGGAGGGCATGAAGACAAGAAAATGGCTAAAGGGTAAACAAGTAATTTCTTTGCGATCCATTTTTCCATCCACCTATCTGTTCTGCCACCCCCCTTCTGGTGTCTAGATGGAAGGTATGCCTTCCGGAAGTGATTGTGATTACCGGTAGATGCCTTAGGGATGGAACAACTGCTAGGGCTAGGGGATATGGTTGGATTGATTGCCATGTGCAAATTTGCAGCTTTCCATGGAGAATAGTAGAAGGACTGTTTAAAAAGTGAAAAATATCCATATCCATATTATTTAACTTAAAAAGCGCTAATTCTTACCTTGTACCGTAAACAAATGAATTCTAAGTCAACTCTGATCCATAACTTCACTCTGAACTACCTTCAGTTCATCAAACCCTCAATCAATTCATCCACTCTACAGGCCATTCATCCATCCATCAAGCTATTCAGCAACCATCCATTCAATCTCTCCTCCACCTAATGATGCTCTTCGTGAAGATGTTTGAATACGGGATGCTTAAGTAGAAAAGATGACCATTATTTTCTCGATTCGCGGTGGATTGAGGCTTCCACCAGTTCTTAAATCATCCATTCATCCGCAAAACGTGGCTTTTGGTAAAATTCGCCCTGGATCCATCCATCGATCCAGTCATTCCGACCGCCCACTTATCCTCCAAAATATTTATCCATCCGCCCACTAATGTTGCCGTTCCATCGACATTTTGACCATCCACTCATTTATCACATACGATGGTCTCATTTCCAGCAAGGTTAAGTCTTGTCAAATCGTCCTAGAAAACGCCTTGAGAGTTTTAAAGACGAAAATAGACACTGCCATAAATGAACAAGCACTAGTGAAGGATAAAATTAATCCGCAATAATAAACTGCCACCTTTTCCAGAAGAAGGTAAATTTTGTGAAAAACAAAATAAACAATGAATAAACGTCTGTCAATTGTGTCCTTTTTGACAGCGAAAGCAGACAGTTGTCAGTTAAGCAAGCAATCTCTACTCATTTTTACAGAAAATAAGTTCATTTCTCATTGGTTGAGGCAATCTTGAAGAAGGGAGGATTGTGCGGTGGTGTTATTTCACTAGACAACATAGGGAGACTGGTCAAGTCCAAAAACGTGAGACCCCTCTAATGATACTGGAGGCTGACATGAGAATGGAGGAGAGTCACTTTAGATGAGATGAGTTTCCGCACAAACGACCCCTTCCAAGGTCTATCAGCATGCTTGACACACGAGGAACTTTTGGTGACAGTAAGAAATTGATCTAACTCCATAAAATGAACCGCTTACCTTGAAGGTGAAAACTTTCTTCCTAATGATACACTACCATCCCACTCCCTTTGTCCTGCCGCCATCTGTTCCCGCTTACAAGGATTCTAGCCGCAACCAATCAAATTTTCCGACAGCCTCAGAGATAATAAAGGAGATGAAAGGATCATAACCCTTTGGAAAAATAAATTTCCAGATAGAATTTAGCAATGCGTTTCTAATCCCCCTCAGATGTGCACCATTGCGAGCGTATCTCGCATGCATTAACGTCAAAAGGCGTTGTTATGGCAGCGCGACAAAAAAATACCCCTCAAAGGTGATGCCCCATACAATTTCGTCCAAACTTTTTTCGTCCTAATAAGTGTAGGGAAAGAGCATGTTGCAGAGTGATATGTAGATGAATGAAATGGATTAGAGCCAACTCTAAGTGATTTGAATGCCTTAAAGATGCAGAAAGTCCACATCCTATGCGCCGATGGCATGTAAAAAAACACATCTGAATTTCAAATTTCGACAAGACGGATGAATATTTAGTGCTGAAGTAGTGTGTAATGCGTCGGTTGTTTGTTTAAATCACGGTTTTGGTAAAGGAGCTACTTGGGTGCTCACTATTCAATCTTCACGGTGCGGGTTGGCCTCTGAGCCAGGCCAGTAGCCCCAAGCCCTACTGAACGTCAACGACGAATATTCTGCCCTCTTTCGTCTTTAAGAAAGTCTTGGGCACTGCATTGGTGGCAACAAAAGCTGCGGATGAGAGAATCGATGATGACTACTAACAGAAGGGCTGGAAGTGATGTCTACTCCAGTCATGTGCTCTGAAGGAAATCTATTGACAACTGAAGCGACACTATCGGTGAACCATCTGAAAAAGTTCATTACGGAGCTATCTAGCGTATCTGCACGGAGATGACAACTATGTGAACCCGCGATACCTCTCTCTTACTCCTCTACTAGCTGGATAGAACCCAGGTAGAGCACTGAATTGAGAAAGAAATTGCAGAGCGGGAATAACCGTGAAACCCAACCCTCATGGAAATATGCTTAATTTCGTCCTTTGTTAAGCGAATCTGCTTTTATGCTAGTTCATACAGAACGAAGCTCCAGATTCAATATAATTCTCAGGGGAAATCAGTGACTTTGCGGTCAAGTGTCTTCTCAATTGCATGGATATTAGAAGACTGTAGTGGCTGGCTCGTGGAGAGGGGCTATGTGACACTTTAATTGTTTGTTTAACTCTCGGTTTTGGTAGCGGGCCACTTAGGGCTCTTTCCTTCTACCTTCACCCGATAGGCTACCCTCCGGGCCAAGTCAGTAGCCCCAGGCCCTTCTGTATGTCGAATTTATCTACTCTGTTCAAGTACTATGCCCTCAATCGCCTTCAGGGAATTCTCGGGCCGCTACGAGTGCATCCATGCAAAGCAAACTTCGGGTTCTTTTCGACATCTTAATAATGGGCAAAACACTGACCTAAAGTAGCAAGTTGACGCGATCGATGGAAATTTAGGCTCACTGAACCGGTTAACGGGTCAAGATAAGTAGATATTTGAGGGTCAGAATCTATACCTCTAGCCTTTTTAAAAAGGGAAAGAGGCCGCTTTGATTCACTCAAATTTCGTGAGTGTGCATATACTGGCAGTGTACCGACAGTTAGACTTCGGTTGTTAAATTGTTTGTTTGTTCGGTTGGTTTTGGTGATAGGTGCATGATTAATGGTACCAGCGACCTGATTAAAAGTGCTTATCCGGTGTTTCAAGACTCCGCCTCCAAGTTAATGTCAATGCATCAGTTCTTTCATGTGTGCATTCGCCTATTCATCAACGTTTATTCGACCCGTTAATAAAACTACCCCACTAATCATACGTGAATCTAACAATCAGTCCATTTCAATTCGCTGACTGTCAATTTGCCTCCCAATCATAAGTAGAATTACTCACCCCCCAAGCCGGTGGCGTTGAGATACTGGCTCCATGACAAACCTACTTTTTATGACATTTATAGAAATGTCTTGGACGCTTTGATGGCAATGTAATGAGATAAATCTAACAGCTTTTACAGTAGTTTGAAGAAGGCTAACCTATAGACAGATCGACTCGCTGCTGTGGACGAAGGATTCACATTCCAGTCAGGTGGGTGGGTACGGGGCAACCCATTGATGAAAAGTCAAAAAAACTCATCAACGCTCCGCATCAAGGCCAACAACGCTGTGTCATCAAAACATCCGAGCAGTAGAATAGAACATACTTAGTTCCGTGTTGTTTAGTGAGAAGGAAATGATAATGTCACCCAATTCCTTCGACCCAAAATCCGGCTACATATCGAATGACAACCAAACCATCTGATCTGTCACAGCCTATTCTACCATACAAAGGTGGCAACGTGTGGCTATAAGTGACAAACCAATTGAAAACTAATGAGTGATCAGGTTTGGTTCAAAGACAAAACTGCATTTGCCCACTTTTGCTCACACTTTTGTAATACATAGACTAGTAGAAAGAGATGTTGAATCTCCTTCTATTCACAATCAAACTTACCTTTTTCCAAGTGTCACACTCGCCGATGTGCTGCTCCAGCACCGAACTCAGTTTATCCACCTCCGAGTGTAGCTCATCCAACCGTCTGTCCTTCTCCTTAAGCATCGACCTCAGATGCATCAGCTCCGCTGTGACCTTCGGATCCATGGTGATGGTGGTAGCAATGGGTGTGACGGGGCTCTTCAAAGTGCTTGAGTTGGTATTAGGGTATTTCGAGGTAGTAGTAGGTCCGTTGACCGGTCGCAGTGGCTTGGCGGCTGTAGAAGTGGATGGTTCGCTGTGATCTTGCCCAGTAGATGTTGCCACTACGCCGTAAGATGGGGCTCGACCGGAAGAGGAAGCGCCACTGGAATTCACCGATTGGCCCTTGCAGAGATTATAAATAAATATGAGATACCTCATGCTGCAATAACAAGCAGAATAATAAACATTGGAGTGAGTAAAATTCGTTTTTTTTTTCTTTAACATTATTGGTATTGGCAGGTGCATAAAATTCCCACCTATTTTTATCATGAAAAGAAGGTCAACCACTGATTAAATAATCTTATTTTAACCTCTACTGCAAAAAACCGAAAAATTCGTGTTTATTTTAAAAGGAATATGGATTGAGCGAGGAATGTCTTTTTTCCTTCGACAGCTCTTAGAGTCGACACCACTTCTGTGAGACCTCAATTACTATCACTAATGACACCTCGCCCTTCTCACCTTAACAGCGAACCGAGAATTTGAATTTCCGCATTTTAGAACAAGTTTTGTGTCTTTTGACCCTGTCGTATTTTGTGGCACCCACTACCCCTGGTTCGCATCACTTCGAAACTGAATTTCCGTATTTCGAAACGAAGCCAAGTGGCGAACTAGCGATGCATTTGGTGAGGCTAGGGTGTGTCCAACTATAAATAAGCGGACTGATTGTTGACTGGTAGTCTGGGAATTAAAAGTTACTGTCTGGTACCTAAATTTAATCTTACAGATAGACTACACCATATGGGTGGCAGAATTGAGCTGAGATTAAAATGGTAGTTGACTTAAAAGTTAGTTACAGTGGAAATAATGGATAAATTCACCCATCTTAATGATGGGTTGATGGATACAGGATGGACGGATGGATGCATTTGGACTGGGCTGAGCGAGTTTATGGAAAATAATCGGACAATTCAAATTGAAAAATTCTACCTAACAAAGTGCAACATCCCAAAAAGTGCCCTCACGGTAATAACTTTCAACTACCATGCCTAGCCGGGTAGATGTGTAGAAATTTTTCAACCTCAGTGGTTTGAAATTGCACTTTCCTTTTCTTTTCAGCCACAGTTGTAAATTTTTACTTGATGGAAAAGTGGAAGTGTACATAGTATTTCAAAAAAAAGTTATTTCTTTAATTCAGAAAAAAAGTGATGATTTACACAGGAAAACAGTCACGCCTGCACTCCCCCACCTAATTGGTAGGCAAACAATGACTTGTTGGATAAAACCACCATATGGAGAATTCACCAATGCCTCATTCAAAACCTTAAAAACCAAATCCCACAATGCATCCGAGCTGAACCAATCGTCAAGGCAGTTATCCATGAAATTTACAATTTTTCTCAGCAATTTTTTCCTCGTATTTTTCAAGGAATTGATGCTTATAACCTGAGAAGCTAAGCAAATCTGAAAGGAGGTGGAAGAGGACTGGAGCCTAGCCTCCTTTATATTCCATGTTAGGCTACAGTCAACTTTCCTCTAAAAAGCATGAAAATTGTACTTTTAGTAAAATGATTGTGTAAGATTCTTGAATTAAACATTCTTTTACAAAAACAATTACCACAATGTATATCGAATTTTGGGGTAGACCCATCACCACACCTAGGCCAATCATTCTGCCTGCTTGAACATTAATGTCATTTTTTGAAAAAAGGGAGGTCCTTTCTACATTGAAGATGCCTCTTTTTACCTTAAAAGGATAATCAGATCAAGCACAAGGGGAATGAGGAGGAGGCAACAAAACTGCTTGATTCATGGGCCAAATCAGCATATCGCTGACAGAGTCGCGGGGTGAACTCCACCAGCATAAGCCCAACAAAGATGTGTTTTACTAGAAGTTATTTTACTAAAGAAGGGAAGAAGTGATGACCAAAAATATTTCAATGTTACTTTATTGCTGCTAAAATCAATCAATGCGAATTAGGCAACCACTAGTTGTCAGGGATTGAGAAAGACCATCTGTCACACACTTGTGACGCACGCAAATGTGCGAGCAGGCCAATGATTAAAACCTCACAGTCCGCTATTAGAGCAGTGATGACAAAAGTAGGTTACATTATTTTGTTTTGTTCTCTTATGATTTCCTCAACTTCCAAATTACTGATTTGAAGTTGATTTACTCAAAGTGGTCAATTACTTGTACCTTTCTACGATATGGTAGGAAACAGGAGTGGGGAAAAATGTTTAACCTTATCAGGTGACCCAAAAAGTGCGCGTAATTGCCCATCCACCTAAATGTTATGACTTGATGCACCATGAAAGGCACTTGTAAAGTACAAGCAATTGTACCTTACAAATATGTCAGTTTATCGCCACTGTTCACCACATCGGTCTTCACCGAATAGCCCGAACCGAGGTTGATTTGACTCGGTTCCAGGGCTAGGGAGGCCTCTTCGAAGGAGTAGCAGCTGAATGATGGGAAAACTTAGGCTCTGGTGATGAATTACTCAAGGATAGAGACACACCCTTTTCTAAAAAACCATTTATTACAGGGCTTTGAGACTAGGGTTGTGATGGCGGCCAAGCAAATGGTTCACTCTCCATATACTATAAAGATGAAGGGCAGACAGACAGTAAGCTTCAAAGACCATCAATATCTGCTTCTACATGTCTTTCACCCTGTAAAAACAGGTCACCCACTTCCATTTGTTCGCTGACTGATCCACGGTGAGAAGCGACATTTCGTACTTCATCCCGGGGTTCAAGAAAATCTTCATACAACCCACTCACTATCTACTAACCATCGGAAACTTTTAAGGTGCGCAACACTCATCGTCAGAAGGTAATACCTACTGTCTGTAGACGGAATCAATTAAGATTAGGATTGGAAAATCACGACTGAGATCTATCTACGCTTTGCGGAACAGCTCAAACGAGTCCAAGGAAGGCTCCGTCTCCTAACAGCGAAATCAAGGCAAGTCGGTCAGTTGGAAGAAATTGCCGGCTTTGCAAGACAATACAAGGCGTGACTTCATACCCTTTCTGCGACGGAAATGATGCAAGGAAGTATAATTACTGTAATTATATTTACTCAAGCTCCAAGAGTTTACCACCTTTTTTTCTCGGGATCATGTTATCACACAATCACGTGCAAAATAGAATAGGCAGGTGATCACCACTAGGGTATCTTCCTTCTTTTAGAGAAAATATTAAGTAAAATTAAAATTGGCAGCAAGTGGTAATTTACGACAAACGTATTACGCTACCTCCTACTTCCCCTCAATTGCCTCACCAACTGAATTTGAGCGTGGGTGAATGCCTACAACCGCAAAGTGGATTGCAAGGCGCTATGGAGGGTTGATCGCTATGCATGCCAACGCCTTGACGGTTGGAGGCGTTATGCCAAAACATCGCCAAAACAGAGAAAAGAATAAAAAATAGCTGATTTAGGTATTTGATTGGGTGTAGCACCCGAAAAGCATAGGAATGCCTCTCCCTAACCCTCCTTTTTAGAAGCATTGCTATCGGACCTCCTTTTTTCGGTGCAAAAAAAACATGTGGCCAAAATTATCCCTGAAAGAGTGAACAGCGATCAAAGTCAGCATGTCAATTCAAATGAACTGTAAAACAGAGACATAAATCTCAGGCGTGCCCACACGCACCCTTGTACCGACATACCTACGCCCATAGCCCTTCAAATTAGCATCAACGAGGGGCCTACGCAGAGGGGCCTAATTTGACAATTTTTCATTTTAGTAAATCTGAAAGAATTTACGGCCAATTTGATTCTTCTCGGAAGGGGTTTTTCTTCACCCATCTCTTTTCGACAAACTTTACCTAGAAACTGGGTTGTCAAAACTAGTCTAATTTAACTTGGGGAAAAGTGAGAGATTTCCCAACGAAAAAAGCAGTAAAGCGTGTTATTTAGCACCACTATGTCTTCAGAGTGTTGGTGGCAAAGTCAAATACACTGTTACTGATATTCTGCTTTTCACTGTCTCAAGTAACTAGGCCTGACAGGCAGTTCTGACCAAAAGCCAAATTCAATCTAAAACCCGACTTAGAAATTCCAAAGCTCCTCAAAGACTGCCACAGTTAACAAATGTGCTTTATTTTGCTACGAGGTAGAAATTGGGTTGGCTTTGCCTTCCCAGCAATACCTAATTTGCCTTCAAACGGATGTGTCACATATGTGTGACGCTGGTACCAAACTTCAATAAGTGCTGTAGCTTCTCTATATGTCAAAATATTCTGAGAGTAGTTTTAAGCAGTCTGGTGGTATTTTCACGTATCATTCTCGGATACCTGTAAATGTACAGGCTTCGGATGTCCCATGAGACAAGGTATGTTACACGCCTCTACGCCTTAATACCCATTTAAGATCAGTTCTAAATAATTACTACTTTCAACCACCATGTCTCAAGTTACTCATTCAGAAAATTTTCGTTTATGACCATATATTCAAAAGGATCAAGCATGTTTCGCAGAGCCCTAAGACCACATTGGAATGATACTCCTCTGAGGCGGAATTCTAAATCAAACGAAATCTTGGGGGATTACGATAAAAAAAGAATGTGGAGAATAAGGCAAGCCCTTTTTTTGGACCGCTGAATTGCACCATTTAGCCAAATGGCAATTAAGAGCTTTGGCACAATAGTCTCAATCTTTTAAAATTTAGAATCTTCAGTGATTTTAAGAACGATGGAAACAGTTCTCAAATAGGATCACAAGGATAAGTTCTTTGCCACACTGGTATCGCACGCATAATCAAGGAATGAAAGAAATGAAATCAAAACACAAAAATGTTAAAGCTAAATACTTGGGCAGGGCTTTTAAACTTGGCTAGAGGACAAAAAACATGGACTGCTATCCAAAATAAAATTTCACTTCTTCCTCCGCATCCCACTGATATCAGTGGAGTAACGATAATCCAAACAACTGCAGTGTCAACTGCACCAAATCTCCACAGCGGTGCGGTATAGCCTTCAGACGCCAGTCAGCAGTGGTGATAGTAAACGCCACCTCTTGGGTAACGCACAAACAGTTTCATAGCTTGTGAAGATATTTATCACCCTCACACCAGATGGAATTGCTTTAAACCTCTTCGATGGTAACTTGTAGCGTTGTTTGCATTGACAACCGGCAAAGCGTAGGCATTGTCAAGTAGACTCAAAAGCCATTTGCTTTGGGGTTTCAAAACAAAGGCGGTGTTTTATTTTTCATGTCGAAGGAGAAAAAAAAAACAATCCTGTGAACGAACGAAACGTCAGAAAAAAGAAAACACACTTTGGTGATAAAAATTACACTGTTCGTGTATTTTTTTTTGGTCGAGTCTTGAGAAGATGAATTGACTCAGAAAAAACAACAAATTCTACTGTATCCTTCTTCAACGGTAGCCGGTAGTAGTAGTGGTAGTGTTCAAAACCACTTTTTAAGGGCGAAGGATTTCAATCTCATTGAAATGACGCTGCTAGCCAGTGGCATTCAAACCCGGAAGTCCCCGCAGATAGTGAAAGGGGGACGGGTGAGAAGCGAGATCAGGGTACTACAAGGGACAGACAATAAATGAAGTGACAGCAACGGCTGCCACTCGCGCTCTCTATGTAATAGCCTAGGGCAAAATGCCCATCAAATAGGGCAGAGCAAGACGGTGGTGTCTGGCAGTCGCTGCCCGTCGCAACCTACTGCCCCCAAGACCAGAAAGGCTGATGCACCGAGTGTTGGGGTTACCTCGAGTCACGTCTTTCCTTCATACCTTCGCTAGCCAAAAGAAGGCGCACCACTTAATTCATTAAAACAGGAGGATCATAGGCTGGTGACGTCAGAGATGGGTGTGAGGTGGTCCCGCCTTCATGCTAGCTGTGATTGGATCGAGATGAACCGCCACCTTTCAGTGGCTGCTTCTAGATAAAATGACGCCTGCTACGAATTGTCAGAGCCGCGGTAGAAACTCATGCTTTTATCATGGGGTTGCCAAAGCAAAAGAGTGCAAAGTACAGAGTATAAAAGAAGAGGAGAAAATGGCAGCTCTTTTAGATTCTCAGACTACTCGGCTTATGCGTTCTTAGCATACATGACAATGTCAATCTAACTTTATGAGAATCGTAGGGAGTTTTCTGCATCAATTATTAAAAAGAGGTCATAAAATGAGGCTCCCAATGCATCGTTGGAGTTACCATCTGTTCAAGAAATACTGCTGGTGCAGGGATCCAACAGACCAACCAAGATTGCAGTCGATTTGACCAGATAGACAAGGAAACCCTCAAGTAGTCCGTGGGACCTCTATGTTAGAGGGTAAAAACGTAGCGTAAGCAGTCGAGGCTCGGAGACCAACACCAGCACCTCCATGCAAAAGCAAGAACGTCGGCATTTAAGAGACTGTTTATTCATTCGTATGTCAGAAATCAGCTTGTAAAAAGGCCAAGTTCCTTCGATTACGCAATGATTGTGCTACCAAACTATAGTACCGTTTGTCACTCGTGATTTGATTTAGGCGTTTTTTTTTCGACCCCTCCACCTACCTGTCTTCATCATTAACCGAACAGACGGCTTATTTGTTTGTTCTCTCTGGGACATATTTTTCATTTGATTCGACTTTTCTTTGCCAAATTAATGAAAGAACTGTGGAAGAGGCAGTAAAAGGTCATGAGTTTAATGATCCGGATTACCGAGGGAGTAATTGTGGTTTGTGAACCGCATTTCTGGTCCACTATCACTGTACTAAATCACCAGCCTCAAATTTACTGTTACAGTCCTCTCTCTCCCATCCTTGACGGCGCACAGTGGGTAGAGGGTGTGCAATATCCCACCGCTACACCGCTAGATCCTGACAATTACTGACACCGGAGTAAATTTGCCATCTCCTTTGTAACATCCTCTTGCTCCAGTGAATCAGATGAAACGGGATCAAAGCGACTGAAAATTTATACGAGGCCAAAAATCTTTACTTCCTTTCTACTTGTTCCAGTTATGGCATGCCCGAACCTTAAACACCCCATTAAAAGCGCAAATGATTGCTTGACATTTCCGACCGTCCACAGCGCTAAGTTCAGGTTCAGGCATAAAGTGAAATAGGTCGATGGCTAGATTTCGATGCAAGAATTGTGAAAAGTATTGGTTGATTCCTTTCAAATCACAAAAAAAGGAGTGAATTGAATATCATTAATGCCTCGGTTTCTGGCACAACCACACAATCATCTTTTCTTGCACACGTAATGGGTGTATGAAAGGGTACTCAAACACACTCGGCCTCCCACATCAGTGACACGTGATAGACAACTACTGTCAGTCTTACAGGAAAAAAGTCACAGAGGTTGGTACAGCAAGCAGCATTCTGTACCTAGGTAGCAAAAACTGCTATTGAGCTGTGAATACGAGGAAAGGGTAGTAAGCTTGTAATTTATTAGCCATTGTCAACACCCCCTCGCCCCCGATTTGAATGCCACTTCCTGCACTAATAACTGTTGAGCATGTGACAGGTTCGCCATCACCATAACTACCGTCATTTGCAGTTCAGCTAAGCATTCCGCGGGGCACTACATCCTGTGTTGACTGTCAGCCTTAGTGGTGCCTTTGAGGGTGCACAATCCTTTGATTCAATAATATCTTCCGTTCATCTAACATACCTCCCTTGCATTGGTGCTACGAAAATGCTGGAGAAAAAAAAGTTCGCCTCGGTAATTTCTTAGTTCAATAGTTAATACCCCTTATGAAGAGGTAAACTTTGGGATGAGATCATTGT